TAGCAGTGCCGGGAAGCTTACGCTTCCTTGGTCGTCCTAGTGAGCGCAAGTCTTCGATCCATGGTGCGGGAGATTTGCAGAACTTCTGCCACACAGTGCCTGCAGCGAGCAATAAGGAAGCAGTGGACACCAGCCAGAGGTATGAGTTGTGCATGGGTGGAAGCTAAGGGTAAAATCCGCTTTGCAGGTAACCAAGGCAAATATTTTGGGGCGTCCGCTATTATACGTTTTGTATTCCGATCACCTAATATGTCCATCATCAATCACTGCGGAAGCGAATAAATGTCTGGGTCCCGATTTGATCTTGGTTAGTACACTTCCTGGCCCGTCTGGATACAGATATGGACAGAAGAGATGAAGTGTTTGAGGCCTGTCCGGAGTACGGCCATACAACAACTAAAAAATTGTCCGGATTTACACCAGGAATATGAGATCAGTCTCGACATCCAGACATACTCCTTGGAGATGCCGGGACCTGGTCGTGATATTCTCTTCCCGCAGTGAACACCCGATCAGTGGCGTTGCTATGGTCATCAAACTTGCATCACACTCAAGGAGCCGGAACAGAGATCCGATCAATTTGATTTGCTCCGAGTCCCTCCGACTTTACGATTTCTACTTGCAAAAACCTAGCTGTATCTAGTTCTCTGGTGTGCACCTGAAAGAAACTCAGCTGGGCCACATTATCGCTCCGCTTCAGCCATCTGCTGGCAGTGTTGATAATGTCTCCTTGACTCCAAGCATTGACGCCCGTATCGATTTTAATTCTAATGCGGCTCAAGCCTAGTATACGAGGTTACGGTGTTAGTCTGTCTAGAGACAGCTCAAGCCCACTCGGTATCACAGACCGCGGCGCATACATCCCCGTACTATCGATCTGGCATATGAGTTGTCGACGCCCGGCCTTTCACAGTATTTAGTAAGGAATGCTGCTTGTCACTGGAAATGCGCTCAGGCTGAAGGAGTCTGGGATTGACAGCGGCCACACTCCCTTCTCGCCGTTCCAGTGCTGCTGGAGTCATGGATGCCGGCCGCCTTGGAAGTATTGCGGATTACTGTTATGCATGAATATTTGGCACTCTTTCGTTCTTCGAGACCATCCTTGTCGACCTGCCACTCACGAAACGGAGGCAAGCACCTTATTTAAATTATGTACAGTATTGATACAAGAGTAGCACTAGTGTGTATGTACTCCCCAACCGCCCGCGAAATATACCGAGCAAAACTTTTGGAACGAGAAGAATGAGAGGGGGAGGAATGGGTTTTGGATTTGGATTGTCAGTTGTTGTACTGGTAATACTACACGACGACCTGCTTTTTGCAGCCGTGAGCGCGCGAATAGCGGGGGAGGGTGAGGGAGAGAGGTATGTAGAGGTAGAGGTAGGTAATATCGTGGGCGAGGGTAAGACAGCAGCGGAAGGGAACACTTGTAGTAAAACGCACAACAGATAGTGGTGTAGATACTTAGATAAATGTAGGGAATCGTGAGAGAGACGTCAGAAAACAAAAGTGAGAGGAAAGGGAATCAAGAGCGGGATTAATTATATAGTTAAGTAGAGATATGAGAGCGTCCGCGGAGCGGGGTGGGCGCAGCGCCACCCGCGCATAACGTAGAGGGCGTACGTCCTGCAGTGCGCCGACAGATTGACGATCGCGCGCCGACTACTCGTCGAGCGGGAACAGGTCGTCGTCCGCCGTCACGACCGGCCCACCGAGCGGGCTCATCGGCGCGCCGCCCTGCGACTTTGCGCCCCCGCTCGGGTTGCGCTGCATCGGCGCTGCCGACGGCGCCCCCGTGCGCGCCGCGGCCGAGTACAGCCGCTGCGAGAACATCGTCTCCAGCCCGGACCCCCCGCAGGCGGGGACGCCACGACGTTCTTCGGCGCAGCCTGCGCGGCAGGTGCGGGCGCGGGCGCGGGCTTGGTGCTGCTCATGAAGCTCATGAAGCCCGGGCTGCCGCTCACGCTCCCGGGGCTCATGTTCGCCCAGTCGAGGCGCCCGGGCGTGGGCGACGTGCCGAACGCCGCGGGGGACGGCGAGCCCGCGGTGGGCGGGAGCGGGGGCAGCGCGTGGATGCGCGAGTACCCGCGGCGAGGCCCTGCGGGAGGGACTGCCCCGGCGCGTGCGCCTGCAGCGCGCGCGCGTTCGGGGAGAGGATGTGCGTGTCCCCCGCGCCCATGCCGGGACGCCACCGCCGAGCGCGGGCGGCGGGGCCTGCCCGTGGTGCGGCTGCTGCGTGAGGTCGAACGGGTTCGGCCGCACGTACGGCGAGTTTGCGTTCGCGGCGGCGTTGGCGTTCATGGCGTGGTGCACGCCCGAGGGCCCGCCGGGGCCGGACTGGAGGTAGTGCGCGATGCCGGGTGGCCCTTGCTGCGCCGCGGCGTTGGAGGCGAAGAGGCCGTTGGCGGGGTTGCTCGTCGTGCGCGCGCCCTGCTGTTTGTTCTGCGCGATGTAGTGGTGGATGTTCGGGAGGAAGGCGGCGCTCGCGTTGCTCGGGGAGAGCGAGGGGAGGGTGCGCTCTGCGAAGGAGGACGGCGCGCCATCAAACTCGCGACCGCCGAAGCCGGACGCGGAGGAGTAGGAGCTGGGGTGGCCGAGGCCCATTGGGGAGCCGGGCAGGCCCGACGCCTGTGGGTGAGCGTGCGGGTTGGACGGTGGCGCGCCGCCCTGGTCGGCCCAGATGGATTTAAGGTCACCACCGAGCAGAGAGGGAGCGGGGACAGAGCGGGAGTAGCGGTGCCCGCCTCCGCCGCCTGCACCCGTCCCTAAGGGGACACCCAAGCCGTGTCGATGCGGCGACGAGCTCTCGAAGCCGCCCACGCCTGGTGACTGCCCCGAGTTTGTCCTCGACATGCGCCGGCTCCGCTCTCGGGGTCAAGAGATCCGTAAGGGAGCTCGGGAGGAAGTCCTCGAGATCCTCGTTGGAGTCCTCCATGGTCGCCTTCCGCCGTGTCTTGGTGCCAAACTCCTCGTACTCGACGGAAATATCGTATTCGCCATTAACAGAACGCCCGTTCATCCTGCCGCAGATAGCATCGACGCGCGCATGGGCGACGACGAGACCCCATTGGAGTTGGCATTCCAGCCGCCCGGGCCGCCACCCATCGCTATACCACTGCCGAGACTGGCGGCCATGCCCATGCCCGTGCGCCCGCTGTCCCCGTATCCCCGAAACACGGACTGTCCGGGCGCGGAGAAGGGCGAAGTCGAGAGGAAGCCGTTGGCCTGCGTTGGTGGTGTGCCTGAGTGCATACGCGACGACGGCGAGGTCGCAGACGACGGGGGCGAACCGATGGGCCAAAATCCTTGCTGGGGAGCTGACACTCGGACGGCGTGGGGCGGAGACGGGGAGAGTCGGGGACGGGGTTTTGTGGTGGTCGGGGATGGCGACTTGTTGCGTGCAGGGGCGGTGGGGAGCTGGCTGCTCTCATCCAGTACACCAAAAGACGCAAAATCAGTGTCTTTAAGAGGAGGAGCAGGGGCAGAGGGGGATATTGTGGCTTTGAGCGGCATATTCATGGGCGGCCGTGCGCGTGTGGGCGCAGTCGATCCGCCGGCGAGCAGAGGATTCCTGAGTTGTTCCCGCCGTCGCGCTTGCTGCCACCGCGGCCCTTTCCGTCGCCGTTTTTAGCGCCCCCAGCGGCAATTTGGGCAGCTTTTTTGTTCTTGCGGTCCATGGCCATGGTCTGGCCGGGCAAGACATGGGCCAGGGCGCATTTGTGGCCAAACTTGCAGTTGCCTTTTACAAACCATGCACAGACGTCCTTTTGACCGCCGGGCTCTACCATACTATGGGAGAAGGGACAGGAGGACCCTGCGGTGCAAGATCCGACCTTGTAGAATTTGCATGGGACATGCGATAGATCTTTTGCTGCTGCAGCGTTCAGACGGTGAAAAAAAACGGTAGAAAAGGCAGCAGCGCACCCTTTGACGCGGCCGATTTCTTGTTTCCCCCTCTGCCGTCGTCCTTTTCTCGATCATCGGGCGAGTCGCTTCGGTCTGCAGAGGCATTACTTGGGCAGTGGGCGGCAGAAAAGAGAAGCAAAAAAGCAGGAAAAGCGGGGATATGAGGAGGTAGTATAGAGCAGAACGGGTTATAAGACTGAGTGTTTGGCCACAGCAAGACGGACAGAAAAGGACCGCTGAAAAGTGCTGATGAAACGAGGACAGGCTGACAAAGCAATCAAGTCCGCTTTTGGTCTCTTGCCATCATCTACTGCGATCCCTCGACAACAGCTGCTGCTGCTGTAGAGAGACTCTCTCATGTGGCGGACTACAACCAACCAATAATGTGGATTGTATTATCATTTTTCATCTCCAGTTTTTTCCTCCTCGGCGGACGATCGTGCTTGGAGCCAAGCTTGGCCCTTCAGTCGTCCGACCGCCGTTTAGGAGCTCTGGCTCCGTTCCTTGTCTTTCCTTGTGTCCAGACGTCCAGTGGTCTTTTGAATTCTACCCGTCAAAATACCCGCAGGATGTTCTCCTTCGAGATCTCTTCCTGCCAGTGGGAATGCATAGCTCCTAGCTCCTAGGCTACACAACGCCAACGATTACACTCTCGACAACACGTCGCGCGGCTTGTCCATCGTCCGTGTAAAGCCTTCTATAATATCTACAAGATATCCCCAATTTTTGTGTTCTGATGACGCGGCACGGCACATTCAGACGATTACGACTCGGCGCCTTTGCTCACGCGGTTAAAAGATGGCGGCTCTTCTTTTTCTTTCTGTGGTGCCTGAAAGCGAAGCGGAGGCCTAGCCGAGGATCCACGCAAGCGCCGTCATAATTAATTATGTGCCTGGAGTCTGGACCTCGCTCTATCGGGTCACCACACGAGTGTCTGCTGCAGTTTAGAGTACGTGCGCCGAATTTTGTTGTAGGCCGACGCTGAATTTCGGCTGTGTGTGACGCTGTGTGACTTTTTTTTTTTTTTTTTTTTTTTTTTTGGAATGGAACAAACGCCTCCCGACCTATAGCCCATCAATCTCAAACTCAGCATGTCTCGACTAGTATATCGGTTTAGTACACGCGCCTGTCATCCTCTTGATTATGTCGTAATTGGATCGCGCGAAAGCTGGGTTCGACTCCCAGGTCGAGAGTTCTTTTTCAACCTTTTTTTCTTCTCATTTCCTTTTCTCTTCCTGTGTTATTTTTTCGTGCTAAAAGGCATTCTGGTTTGGTTCTTTATCTAAGTCATCTCAAACTCAAACTTCCAATGGCGTATGTAGTCCAAGCACAGATTTAGAGGCCGAGACATCGGGATTGGAGAATTCATTCGCGTTGTTGCAATTTAAAGCAGCTACTAATTAATCACACAAGTCGGAGAGGCTAACAGACAGTACCGTAAGTAAATTCAGATTGATATGCTAAAATGTCAGGAAGGTAACTTAAGGAGATGGGGTGGAGGTGTGAGTGGAGCAGGAATGGGCAGGATGCATGAATGATTGAGAAGGAATCTGAATAAATACGGGAGTGTAGCGTGTAGTTGCCGAAAGGGATTTAAATTAAATTAAACGTGGCCATGGGTTCGGACATGAATTTGGGAGTTGGTGTTGGAGATATTCGAACGACCCGGGGCCGGGCATCATAGAGTTAGAAGGCAGATAGACAAGCAAGCAGATAGACAAGAAATTTAAAGCGTACTGTAGGAAGTTTCGGAATTGCGAGCGACTAATTTTGGGGAGGGTATCCGAGTCCGAGGGAGGGAAGAAAAAAAAGGTGCCGTGCTGCAACTTAGGGAAGACGGAAGGTTACCGTAGTAGCGAGAGAAACATGAAACAGCGGGCGTACATGTGAAAATTGTGGTCCAGCCAAAAAGGAGCCATCCAGCCTAGAAATAACAAACGAGAGCCGGTAGGGTGGGTGTACGGCGGGAGGAATGGGTTCTAAAGGAGAACTTGATGTGGGCCCAGAAGGTGAACAAGCAAGCGCCCGACACAAATATAGAATCGCATCGTGCTTCCATTCAGGCGGGTATCCAGAAGACGCTCAACAAAGTATTCCTGGAATGTACACAGGTCCCAGATAGCATTGTAACACCTGGTAGAAGAGTGGAGAGCAAGTTGAGGTATTAGAGGTGGACACCGTAAATTTTTGCGCCCTTTTGCATACGAACAGAGCAACGGTGCGGGCACAACAAGTCCGCGCACAGGATAAATCCGTTACATTCATTGGACAGACCAAATCACTTCAAGCGTCAAGTTGTAAGATATGCACGGAGAACAGCGGAGACCCTGGTCGCGATGGAAAATATTGGCGGACTTCCGCCGTCTGTAACGGGGATCAATTCAGTTGGTGATGGTGTGGGCTTCCTGACTTTGCGTTCACTCACCTGGTCTCCCCTGCATTTTTATTTCGCAGGAAGCCTTCACTCAATGTCAGTTCTGCGGTTAGGCATTGCAGCAGGATCTAAACGGTGAGCGCAAGCGTCTGAGCAAGACCGCGCGCGCGCTTACCACTGTCTCCTAGATGAAAAGCCAGACGAGGCCGAATATACGAAGTTCTGAGGCCCGTAAGATGCATCTACGGGAACTGGACGACTTAAGGGCAGAGTTACCAGACTCTCAAGAAGAGCGCGAATTTCTTCCCATTCTTCCGAAGCTCGCACTGCACAGCGCGTTCGGCACCTCGAAAATATCATCATTATGCGCTCGCTCTACAAGAATTCGGACAGCGGAGCCCAAGCACATTGTGTCTGAGACTAGCCCCGAAGTCCTGGGCGGAGTGTTGCCAGACGGTCATAGATTCGGAAAATGGCCATGTGAGCACACGGTTCATGCCGCCGCCTGATTATCTCCTCCTTCATGGTGATGGGTGTAATCTGATGCAGCAGGCTGGGATCAGCAGCACCTACGTGATGTGAGCTCAAATCTACTAGCGGCAGGGGGGGGACACACTATTTCAGCAGCAATCATCCCCGATATCATCGGTACAGCCATCGATGTGCCACGTTTGACGGTGTTGCCTAGAAAAAAGGCGAAATTAGTCGGAGATCCTCTAGCCTGAAGAGTAACTTACGATGCGGGATGAGACACTGGCGACCGAAATCCTTTCGCCAGGGGCGTATACATCAACACACTGTGGGACACAGGTATAATGTTCGCCCATATATATTATAAGATAAAGAACTCACACTTCCGAAATTTGAAAATCCGCCTTGTTGTCCAATATATGGTGGCCCCAACTTTGAGTACGCCAGGCAGAACCATACTTTCGGGCACTGAACGAATATCAATGAAAGGATTAAACAGCAGCCCCCACTCACTATGTCTAGGTTGTGATTCCCCGCTGCTTTAGAGGCACATCGGGTTCAGCGCGCGCATTTTGAGGAAATGAAGCGCTTACAGGTGACGATGTGCATTCCGCTACTCACAGCCTAGACCTCAGTCAGCTCAGAGATAAATTCTGACACGGCGAGATGATTTACCGTCTCCAACAGTCTCGCAAATCACAGCGTTGATGTTTACACTGAGGTTGATTATGCCCCCTTTCAGTCCCGCGGTACTCTGAAATAGAGTGACAGCCTCAGAATACCCCAACTGACGGCGTCGACCAAAACAGATGGTGAATTTCCAACCTGTAACATCTGTTCAACACGTCATTCCACATATTTTTCACCGTCTTTGACCTTGATGGAAACAATGGATGCCTGGTTCGCCACACCCGAACGCCTCCCGCTGCAATCGATGCAACGGCAGTCTATCGCCCGCTCCGTGAGCCGTATCCGTGCTCGCAAAGTACCACATACCCCGTGCCCATTAAGATCATCCGGACCCCGATGATATTGGCTGGCTGAGGATTATGAATGAAATTGAGGACGCTGATAAATTTCAGGAAGGAAACGAACCCCTCCCAAATAGGGGTACACGCCCCCATTAGAGGCTCGGCCTTGGAATTGGTTATGAGTTAAGAAAACACCAGTGTCAATCACGTAGATCTGCAAATGTGTAGACAAGTGTAAGAGGAATTCTATTTTGGAAGGTGAAACAATCGTACCGCGACACCAAGACCGCCGGCGTTATTTGCCGCCCAATAAATCCAGTCCTTCGAGTCCGGAGTGGTTCCTTGTCCTTGGGCACCGGGAACAACCGGTACGTCTTGTGTGATCCTGGCAAGATGCCTACCAGGGTTGTGAATCAGTATTCTCTGAAGGAAGCCGAAAGAAATGCCTACCAGGATGCGCCGTCCCGCCACCTTCGGAAAATGCTCCGACGAGATTTCGGAACGACATCGTCACCATCCACATCTTCCGGCATTGGGGGATCATCCAACTGTATTTCTTGGTTACGTTCAATTCCTGTGACGCCGGTGGAGGAAGAGATGAACGCCAATGTGAGGTCATCGAATTGCCCCGAATAAAATTTGTAGAAGCCGGTCCACCTGCACTGCGATAGTATTGTTGACCTTCATACACTTTTGATTCGTAGAGATGAAGCTCTCCAGTTGCTTGATATGGGCGGCCATGCCAGTCGTTACATTGACGCTCACGATGTACTGGTCTGCAACTTGGTTTGAGACCGTAGGAATGTCTGGAGGAGTAAGCGCTGCTCCGGAAATCAATACCATCTAGAAGGAGTAGAAAAAGTCAGGCACGTACCTGGGCACCCTGTCGGATCGCTTGCAACCGTGGGAGCTGTCCCGACCGGCACCGACGAGGCGGACAGACATAATCCGAGCCAAATCCAGAAGTGGAGAGCAAGTTTAGGCATTAGAGGTGGATACGGGCCAGCCGATGGATGTTTTGAAAATTTCCGTGTCTTTTTATGCGTAACGCACAGGGCAACGGCGTGGGCACAACAAGTCCGCGGTCCGGGTGCACAGGAGAAATCCGTGACATTCGTTGCAAGGATCAAGTCTCTTCGCCAAGCGCCAAGAGGAAGCAAGTTTGTAAGATATGCGCGGAGAACAGCGAAGACCCTGGTCGCAATGAGAAATTTTATCGTGGATTTCCACCGTCAGAAACGGGGATCAACCCAGTTGTTGATGGTATGGTTCCCTGGCTTTGTATTATGCATACGAACAGAGCAACGGTGCGGGCACAACAAGTCCGCACACAGGATAAATCCGTTACATTCATTGGACGGACCAACTCACTTCAAGCGTCAAGTTGTAAGATATGCACGGAGAGCGGAGACCCTGGTCGCGATGGAAAATATTCGCGGACTTCTGCCGTCTGTAACGGGGATCACTTCAGTTGGTGATGGTGTGGGCTCCCTGGCTTTGTATTCTCACTCGCCTGCTCTCCCCTGCATTTTTATTTCGCAGGAAGCCTTCCACTCAAATGTCAGTTCTGCGGTTAGGCAGCGATCCAAACGGTGAGCGCAAACATCTGAACAAGACCACTCGCGCACTTACCACCTGTCCCCTAGATGAAAAGCCAGACGGGGCCGAAGTATATGTTCTTCTGCGGAGTTTTGAGGCCCGCGAAATTCATCTACGGGAACTGGACGCCTTCAGGGCAGAGTTACCAGGCTCAAACCCCGTGCACTTCCTGCCGGATCCATTGAGCGACATCGTGCCCTCGTACCACGCATCCATGCCGTTGAAGGTGCGCAGATGGATCGAAACCCGACAGGAGGTTGTCGACGTCAGACGGTTTCGGCATCCAAATGGATTGGGTACGGAATGTTGAGCCGCGTCAGCGGCGAGATGCTAACCAAACGTGGAATCCAGATCAGTTCGAAGGTCCCGAGAACAGAGATGAATACGTGCGTGACAGGTACGAAGTGGCGTGCCGAAATCGTGAACAGCTAGAGAGGCACATCGCCGAACTCGAGGACTTTTACGCCTCCCAACACCCTGAAACCCCGCTCGGTCATATTTGGCGCACGACAGATCTGGATACTCAAGTTGCTGGGATCTCTGCTAACCTTGGGTTCAGCTATATTGCAACCTTGCCGCCCGACGTCTTGGAATGGGTGAAAGGCAGGGACGACGTTATCCGGATCAGACCGGACAAATGGCTGTATCTTGATGAAGTAGAGCTCTCCGAAGAACCCGATGTAGATGATTCCGATCCAGAGGTTCTTGATGGAGAATACTAGGCATGATAGCATTTCAATCCTTAGCCTTCATAATATTCTTGTTTGGAAATGAGGTC